GCCCAGCTTTCTGGCTGACTTCCTTGCCAAATACGCCTGAACGCTCGGGGACCCACAGTTCGCGCCGTCCGAGCAGTACCGATGACGCCAGACGACTCATATTGCCCGCAGGCGCCGGCCGGCCCCGCGAGGCAGACTGCGCCGCAGCACACGCCGGCCGGGAGGCCTCGGGCAGCCGCCCGGACACGGCGCAGCGGACAGGAATGGAGGTCGTAGCTCAATGGCGACTGTCCAGCTTGACACGACGGGCGCCATCATAAGCCCGAAATAAATGGCCAATTAATTCCCGACGGGCCATTGGCCGCGCCACTGTCGCAGTATATGGAGCACTTTATAAAGCCGGCAGGGAGGGGGTAATAAGGCCCCGGTCGGCGGCTCTTCGCGGACTGTCCTGCCCGGCGAGCCAGCTCAAAATAGAGGTGCTCCAACGGGACTTATTGTTTGCGGGGCGAACAGCAGCTTCCCTTTGACATGCTATCGGCTCTCTGAGCCGCTCTGATTATTGCTTGGTGCGGCGAAGAACAACATTTTTCAGCTTTGCCTTCGTCTAAAGCCTTGTATTTTCCGCGTATGTAACGTTTATCGCATACACCCTTGAAAGAGGCAAAAGGTGGACAAAAAACACACTCATTCGCGATGATTCAATAGTTAAACTATATCATTCTTACAGTTTTACGACCACATTAATCAAGGGCTATCCACACAAGTAACAAATTCTGTCATTTGTTTGGCGGCCTTACTTTCAAAAGCGCCGTCGGTCAATTCAGGCTGATGTTATAGCCTGGAGCTCCGGCACACCGTAATTAAAGTGGGCCAAACCTCTTTCTAAATCAATATCCATGCACCGCTAAGGGGCAGACGTTAAGCTTTCCCGAGGTGGGCCGTGCCCGGCGGCTCACTCGGTCCCCCTGTCCTTCCGCCTGCGGCCATTAACTACCCCGTCAGCGAGGCTGAGCGAGACTGAGCGAGGCTGAGCGAGGCTGAGCTCTCATTTCAACCTATACCACCCGATCAGCGAGGAAGCGTTCTCTCAGGCCTCGCCGCCAGCCAACAGTTAGCACTGAACTATCTTTCTCCGCTGGCCAGTAGTCCCCGACCGACCACGTGGCTCGCCTCGGAGGTCTCAGGGGGCTGCGGGCCGCGCTGCCAGCTCTGCCCGGCGCCTCGAGTCGCGGCGCACCAGGGGCCCGGCCCGCCGCCCGCCAATAAATACAGCGCCGCTAAACAGGCGTGGCCCCGGGCGTTACGGCCGGGTCGACTCCCAGCGGGGCAGTCAAGAGTTTACTGACCCGCCGCCCGCCCACGCCCCTCCGGGGGACGCCTGCAAAGCCGGGGCGGCTCGGCGGCGCCTGGGAGGGCGGGGGTACAGTGCGGGAGGGCGGCTCGGTGGCGCCTGGGAGGGCGGGAGTACAGTGCGGGAGGGCGGAGGTGCGGCACGGAGGGCCGAGGTACAGCACAGGGGAACGCAAAGGTGCATGCAACGCAGGGAGGTCCATAGCAACAGTGCAGGCGGGGGAGGGGAGGGTATGTACAGCGCGGGTATGGCACAGGAGTCAGATCAGGTCAGTACAGTAGCGAAATGCACCAGCACGTACACAACTTTTCAATCGTAGGTGCAATCGTATACCGTTGCCAGTACTTTGCTTGCGTCAAGCGAAGGAAAGTTTGTCCACTCACGCACCTCCACTAACGGGCGTGGTCTCTCTTCCCATCCGTCCATCTCAACATATGCTCGTCTCCCCCCCCCCCCCTCCCTCACGGATGGTATCCAACATCAAACTTCACCCGGTATCTTCATCTCGACTTTCTCACAGCCCCCTGCATTCGCCCGATTCTTATCCCCCTGCTGTCGGGTCCCCTCGCCCTTCACCAGGCGGCTCCTCCACATCCCCTTCCCCTTCGCTGCACCACTAAGCCGATTCCCCAACGACAGCCGGCCTTCACCCTGCACCCGACTGTACGCCAAATCCGCGCCTCGCCGCCGCCCGGCTTCCAGTCATTTGATTGAAACGCCGCCCGAACCCGTTGAGATTATTTCGGTCCAGAGAAATGGACGGACGCCGGATGCCCAATGTGACGTTTATGGATGGTGATTCGGGAGGCCCGGGCGCTCGCCGAATGAGCCTGGCGTTCAAGCAGGCTGCCACCAGAAGGTGGAAGTGCATACTATGCATTCAACGCTGCTCACCCATAGAACTCGGCACAATGCCTCCGCCTAGGGCGCAATCCAGCATCATCTCCATATCGCGGCTTGTGTGATTTATAATTCAGAACCATCCGCGGTCCGGAAGCCGTTCCCGAGCAGTATATGTCGACGGGCAAAATGTGGCCGGGACATGTGCCTGTTCCAAGGGTGCGAATCAAAGCTAGCTAGCAGTCCGGTCAAAGGCTGTACCGGAATCGGCCATTTCAGACTGCAGAATATTTACCAATGCGATGCCCCTTGCTTGATGTACAAATTGCCGGACATTTCATCGCGGCTCAAAATATCCCACTTGCAATGGTTATTTCCCACAACCACACGACGCCCCTAACCGGAACAGCACACAATATCCCAAACCGAACAAGTTCGATCCACCACTCCAGAAAGGACGAATTTTACCTCTCCTGGGACCAGAAATTCCGGCGGAGTCCGATGGCAACCACTACCAATAGCGGGGGTCAATTACGCCGATGTTTACGGTCGATAGAGAGAAGTTCAAGCCATTCCGCGGTCGTTATTGGGGTGTAACCCCCAAAGCAAACGCTAGACACGGCTTTACGCTGCGTGTCAACAGCCGACGTGGGCAGTGCAATGGTGGCAGGCTGCTAGCAAATACAACGGCTGTCCCGTTGCAGAGGACGGCTGTGGAAAATAAAGAGCCCGGCTGAGCTGCCTTTGGATTCTGAAGGTCATCACCTTCAGCCGACAGCGGAGGAAAATGGGGCCGGCGGCGTTAGGCGGGGCTGCAAAGGTTACACGCTGGTGCCACGTGCGGCGTCGGCATGTGGAGCAGCGCGGGGTGAGTTAGGCTGGCCGATGTCGGCGCACCCGGCACGGTACACCACCGAGTGGCCGGCGGCACCACGCTATGGCATAGCCCAGCGGCGGCCCCGCACCACGGCCCGGCCCAGCGGCAACCCCATACCACGGCCCGGCCCACAGACGGCCCAGTACCACGGCCCGGCCCAGCGGCAACCCCATACCACGGCCCGGCCCAGCGGCAACCCCATACCACGGCCCGGCCCAGCGGCAACCCCATACCACGGCCCGGCCCACAGACGGCCCAGTACCACGGCCCGGCCCAGCGGCAACCCCATACCACGGCCCGGCCCACAGACGGCCCAGTACCACGGCCCGGCCCAGCGGCAACCCCATACCACGGCCCGGCCCACAGACGGCCCCGCACCACGGCCCGGCCCAGCGGCAACCCCACACCGCGGCCCGGCCCACAGGCGGCCCCACACCACGGCCCGGCCCACAGGCGGCCCAGTACCACGGCCCGGTTCAGCAGCGACCCCACGCCACGGCCCGGCCCACAGGCGGCCCTACACCACGGCCCGGCCCACAGACGGCCCAGTACCACGGCCCGGTCCAGCAGCGACCCCACGCCACGGCCCGGCCCACAGACGGCCCAGTACCACGGCCCGGCCCACAGACGGCCCAGTACTACGGCCCGGTCCAGCAGCGACCCCACGCCGCGGCCCGGCCCACAGGCGGCCCCACACCGCGGCCTGGCCCACAGGCGGCCCCAAACCACGGCCCGGCCCACAGGCGGCCCCAAACCACGGCCCGGCCAAGAGGCGACCAAAGGCACGAGCCGTGCCTCACCAGCGGCTTCACACTGCCATCAACCAGCAACCAACCAACCAACCAGTGAGCAGGGCTGAGCCGGAAACTGATCTGTCTGGGCTCGAATTCACTGCCTGGGACCGGGACCAATCCTGCAACCTCAAGTAGGCGCACAATCAAGGCTTTTTATCAGGGGAGGAGGCCCATTACCTTGATCGTTCCCCATACACGTTGACCGCAAATTTGTAACTTATATCTTAATAGTATTTTTGCACGACTAAGGCAAACATATAACCACAGCTGTACAGCGTTAACAGAGAATTAAATCCTGCTAAAGCTCGACACCATGAAAACAGGCCATCGAAAAAGTTAAAATGCTAGAAATGTTTGGAAACCTCAAATGTCTTTTGACGTCCATGCCACTACTGTGTGCATGCTACAAAACTCGTGCCAATTATTTGAGGTAGGTCCTCATATGCATAGAATCAGATATTGCCGCATCTAGCGACGCTGTTGGGGTCCCCAGTTTAAACCAATATGACACATTTTTTGCCTGATCTTCAGGAGATAAGCGCGGGTTTGCATTACTTTTTCTGTGATATACCAGTGCCACAATCAAGAGTCTGAAAAGCCTGCGTAAAGCTTTTGAATTAGGGGGGACGGGGTTCGGAACCCCTCCCTTTGGCTGCGGCTATGCTCGCACCATACGTTTTACCTGGCTGCGGCGGGGCCAGCCAACGCCATCTAGTACATCCTACAGCCGCTAGATGGCAGGATCTATGCCTGAAGTTAAGTGTCAATAGCTGCCGCTAGGTGGCCAGTGAATGGCCGCCACCTGCCGGTCGGCGAAGGCGGTGACGACGGAGAGGATTATGATCGGGTTTCAAAGTCTACCGCTAGGTGACAGGAGTGCAGAGACCTAGTGCCAGCGGCTGCCGCCAGGTCGCAGCACCGCAAATGTATAGTACGGTGGTGCCAGCGGACAGCGATAACGCAAGACACGAGTCACGGCACCGTTGTGACACATGCTATAAATCAGAGCACTCGTAGCGTAGCGCACCGTAACGGCGTGCCGCACCACTCCACTGCGTTGCCGCCCTCAGCGCACGTGGTCCCCAGCTGAGGGCGCGCGCGCCGATCCTGGCGACGAGCCAGGCCCGGCGGCGCCCCGGCCCGCGAGATCAGCCGATGCTGGGGCGCGCGCGCGCCGATACCATCGGCTAATTACCGTGACTCGGTAGTGGCGACACTTGGGGCTGAAGGCGTTCGTGCCGCAGACGAACAGGCCGCCGTCAGCCTTGCGGACCAGCACGCGGATGTAGTTTTGGCACTCCACCTGTCAACAGGGGGACGGCTGTCAACATGGGGCGGTTGTCAACAGATGGACATGTGTCAACATAGAAGCGTCTGTTCTCCGAGGTGCTGTCAGATGATGGAGAAAAGCAGGGGCGAGTCGATTTTAAATACGGGCCATGCCCCCATGTTGATTTGCCCCAGCCTCCACCCTCTAATTTTGTTGGGCTTTGAAAGATCATGTGCTGAGATATTACAGAAGCTAAACAAAGATCGCTATCACACAAACATGCATTCCTTGGGGCAAAATTTCATGGCTATGACAATAATGCTGCTCAGGCTATTTCATAACCGACAAAACCACAAAAAAATGGTGTTTGTTTAAAAAAGTAGGGCCACGACTTTCGAGAAACGTGTGTTGTCGACCAATTCCACCTGCCCTCCCTTCATTCCTGAATCAGCCAATTGCTTACTGCCGACCACGCGGATCCACAGACGCAATACAATACGCACACCCACGCACCCTACATGAGGACGCTCGATCGCTCACACACGCGAGCAAGAGCAGAGGCACGTATGAGCGCCTGCGTGCCGGTGCACGCATGTGCGCATGCACGCGAGAACTTCCTGGTCCCGAACGGACGGTGCAGCCGCGTCGTGGTGGTTACAGCACGCCAGAGACGACAAGTGTTGTCCGACACGCGCGCCCGTCCGCCCCCGCTCGTGCGGTTCGCCATCGCTGCCCAATCCCCCTCCCTCTCCCACTTAAACGTCCTCGACCGCCGAAATGATTACGCGTAATCGGGGCGCCCGGTCGGAGCGATGATGGAGATGCAATCTTGGCTGGGGTCGACGCACCACGTCCCGCGAGAAATTGCCGCCGCGCGCCAGTAAAGTATGCGCGCTGCCCGCCGCCAGGATCGGCACGCAACGGTCCTCCTCGCGCGCAGCAGCCGTTCAGCAGGCGCGCGGCGCAGCAGCAGCAGTCATTCAGCAGACGTGCGGAGCGCGGGACACCTGGTCTGGATGAGCCCTGGCGCCCGAGGGCCATGGTGCGACATGGTCTAAGCACTAGGCCTCCGCCTAGTAAGCAGTAGACTCTGCCCAGCACCGTGGTGCCAGTTGTGTATGTTTCGCTAAAAACGCTGCCGCTGACTTTAACATACCCAACGACTAGCGAAAAACAGCTTGTCACGCTCGTGGCAAATGTCCTGGATTAAACAGATTGGATCAACGTCGCCCATCTGACCCACATTCGAGGTCGCTGGAGTCAGATATAAGCAGACTTATTTTGAGGTCGTCGCTAGGATAATCATTGACTAAGCTGTACACAGCCGGACAGTAACAACACCCACTCGCCCCGGGTGCGGGACACTCCGTGTATTGAGCCTCCCCATCCTATTGGCCCAACCTCAGGCCGCAGTGTGAACGCCGTAACCGAAGACAAGCGAGATGGCCTCGAGGGCGTCGTGGAAATGGCTGCAGCCGGCGGCGTGTTTATTGAGCACTCACCACCGGCTTCCCTTTCAGACGACACAGCTCCACTGTTGAGGCGTTCGAGGCCCAGCTCAGCTTCTGAAACAGCAGAGAACGGTGTCACCCTGCCGCCGCGCACGAAGAAAGCCACGCAGCGGCGCGCTGCTCTCATATGACGCGCCGCTAATCCGACGCAGTCGTGCAAATCACAAATCAATGCAAAATCACTTCATTCGGCTGCGGGGAATGACATAATTCGCCGGCGCGGCACAGGAAGGCATGGAATGGAATGGGGTTCGGGAAGGGGCAAAGAACGCTCAGGAATCGGACTAGATACCACGCATAATGGAGCGCCACAATGCGATGTTCCAACAGTCGCAGCGATGCGCGGATCCTCCGGACAAGGTCTATTCAGGAAACAAGGCATCGATCGGGCCGACGCACAATGGCCGCACATCGGGACAATAGTCCCCGCGGCACCGCACGTTGAGGTGTGCTGCGTTAGCTCACCGCCACGCTCTGACCACGGCACGTACCCCCCCCCCCCCCCCCTCTTCGCCCTTCTCCCCACCCGGTAGCCTCCTCGCCGTCTCTCCCACCCCCTCAGGGAGGCGGGCCGGCCATTCAGACCGCTAACGACGCTTTCACGGCAGATAAACGTCCGCGTCGACACTCGCCGTGAATGCGGAGGGCGGGAGAGACGGGGCCGCACCGCAGGGCGTACAAAGACACCGGTACCGCCCCACCCCCAACCCCGAAACGGCGCGGCGTTGGACGACACGGCCGGGGTTTGGGCGCGAAGCCATCCGCCGGTTTTATGGATTTCCGTCGGGCCGGGACGCGACATCTGGTGGCGGTCGCGGCATCCCGCGGATGGTGACGTTCGACTCGCCTAGATGAGCTGGACGAGAGCGGACCGGGAGGAGCTGGACAAGAGCGGACCGGGGGGAGCTGGACGAGAGCGGACCGAGAGGACCTGGACAAGAGCGGATTGGGAGGAGCCAGACGGACAAGTGGGTCGATGCAAGCAGGGGACGCCGGGGGCACTGGACACAACGTGAATTGGATACGGTCGCAACGGGCAGCATCTGGGGATGGTGGGCAATGCTGCAGACAGGCTGAGGAGAGCTGACGGTGGGGCGCGTTGGAGCTGTAGCTGGAGCTGGGGCTGGAGCTGGAGCTGGAGCTGGAGCTGGAGCTGGAGCTGGCGCTGGCGCTGGACCTGGAGCTGGGGCTGGAGCTGGCGCTGGAGCTGGAGCTGGAGCTGGAGCTGGAGCTGGAGCTAAAGATGGAGCTACTCCGGCGAAGTGGGGATGGTGGGGGGGAGGGGGCGGGAGACCGAACGCAGCAGCAGACCGCAGGGGAGAATTGGAGAACCAGTGTAAAGAAACGGAGCAGTTGGGCAAACTGGGAGAAGCGGGGCGAATCGGAGCAGTCCAAAGAGGTGAACTGGGAGGACAGGAGGTGCATGTGGTGCGAAGGGAGGAAAAGGGCCAGCCTCGCTAATGAACACCATGGGGTCCAGACAACTGATATGTATGCGAACGCAGTGCCGGAACTTCGCCGGGGCCTACGGCTTGAACAACAGCAGGACCACAGGCTCGAGAAGTCTCACAACGTAACGGCCTGCATGCCGGCCCAGTTTCTGTCGGCGTGTGCTAGGGAGTACATCAACCCTGATTCATGACATTGCAGCTACATACAGCTGGCTAATTTGATCATATACCGACCCGTTCTAACGCGCACGTCCACCTCTCAAGTTGCTGGGCCTGTGCGACATTACCTCCAGCCCCGACCACAGTCTGGGATGTTCAGTCCGTGGCAGAGCTAGACGCCGCGCCTCAGCCCACGCCGCGGCCCCGCATCACAGGCCACCTCCGGCGCGTGGGCTCGCTCCCAATGAAGGCCATCTGGCGGCGCCTGTCCGGCCGCAGTTTTTGCTCGGTGCCCCAATTCTGCCGCTTCGTCCGGCTCTGCCCACGTCTCCCCGCAGTGGGTCTCCCCTGTTACTCTATCCACTTCTCCCTTCAGTGGGTCTCCTCTGACACTGCCCACGCCTCTAGGGTCCCCGGTCTGCTGGAAATGTCAGATAACTTCTCAAGTTCACTGCCTCTGTCCTCGCGGGGTTGTCTCTTTCAGAAGCTCCAAGCACATCCCCTGGACAGTTTTGTAGCCACATGAGGTTCTTGACCCTGGTCACCAATGTCTCACCTGCACGACTCCTTGACCTTGACCTTGACCCTACACTGTTCTGCCCTTGAACCTGGTCACCAATTTCTCACCTGGAACTAGACTCCTACGGTTCAACTTAGGCGTCTCCCACTACCCCCCCCCCCCCCCTAACGCGAATCCATGCGCCTCCAGCCCTCGTCGGTATGTCCACAGCAGCTGTGCCCGACATTGGGTGACGGGGTATAATATGACATCAGCATAGGTGTGGGTATGCTATGGGTATGGGTAAGACATGGGTATGGGTGCGATATGGATATGGGTACGATATGGGCATGGGTATGACATGGGTACGGCAAGGTCATCGGTAAAGTATGGGTATGGGTATAACATGGGTGGGTATGAGCATGGTAAGGGGAATGGGTATGGTAGAGTATGAGTGCGTACATAGGTATGAGCATGGGCATGGGCACGGACATGGCATGGGCGTGGAGAAGCGCACGGCAGTGGTCATGAGCATGGATATGCATAAGACACGGCCTTGTAGTATGGCAGGTGCGCCAGCGCCCTCCCCCAACATTCATTGAAATTAGCCTAACTTTGTAATTTCGCCGTTAAGAGACGTCAGCTGTGACAGCTGCGTCACGCCAGATTTCTCGGTATTGCCTCCCCTGACGCCCACAACTCTGACTCACAACCTTTGCCCATTTGCAGAGGCATAGCCACCATGTGGCTGTGCAAATACTACAGATAGGAAATAACACAAATGAGACAAACTAGACATGTGGAGGAACCGAAAGCTGCATGTTAAGATCAGCTCTTACCATGCATTGCATGTAGTTAATGCCAAGAGGTCAACGTCACGTGGGAGGCCGTGACCCACAGGCCCCGTGCCTTCGCCAATTAAAGCCGACTCTGGGCGAGCTGGAAGGCAGCACGGAGAGGCTCGTATCCTACATCACAGACTCATAAGCGCAGATTATCTATCTTCCTTGGAGACAGAGAGCTTGCTTAGTCATCAAACAGGCCGCGATGCTGTCCTCTCCATGCCCGCTGCCGAAGTGCCGTACTCGTCCAAGTTCGGCTTCAGCCTCTGGTTCGTAACCCGCCTAACCAACATACCTAGCTTAACTTAAATGCCCAACTAATTCTCAGCCAGACCCTTTTTACAGGCAATGGCCAGGGTGCTGACCACAGATGGTTCACCCTTTCAACAGACAGAGCGCACGGCCCCGGCCCAGACGCAGCAGCCGTCGTCAGCGCCAGCCAGCCGCGGCCGGCTCCAGAATACCCGCCCGACGAGCGTCCCGCACGTGCCCACCCCGCCGCGCCGCGCACGCTACCCACGCCGGCGGCGAATTCCGGCCGCGTCGTCCGCGCCGCCCCCGCCGCTAAAATTCGCATGGGGAAATTCGAGATGATTGCGGCGTCTGCCGCCATTAGCGGCGCACGCGGGCCGCTGAACCAGCAGCGGGCCCGCCCGCTGGCAAATGATGACGAAAACGGCGGCGCATTCGGCGCGGTGGAGACGGACGCGCGGCGCGGCCCGGGGCGCCGCGGTGGCTGCCAGCCCCACACGCCGCATCATCAGGCGACAAGTTCGTCACAAAGGCTAACTTGGCCGACAATCCCGGCCCAACTTCTCAAATCCGGCCGGTTAATAAGGGATAACGACGCCCAATATTGGTCGGGGCACGCAGTGGGCTGCTGTAAATTTCCTAATAATGCCGTTCGCGGCGGTGCTGGGCTCGCTAACGGGCAGACCAGCCCGGAGCTCGGCCAGAACTCTCTCGAGTCGGCCGTCGTACAGCGGGGGAGAAGTGCGGCCTTGCGGGGTCGCAGGGGGCGAGGGGCGGGGACGGACCGCGCCTCCACCCGACACTCAGTTCGGCGTCTCTCACGCTCCAGGGCCATATTTTCCGGCAACATATAGCGTTCACCACCGAATCTAGCCTCGCCAACAATCGCTCAAAGCACTTGCTGTCATAAATGCATTCAGCACCAAAATAAAATGCCGGTCATTTAGATATTCAGAACCTAGCAATTATGGGAAGCACTATCACCTTGGTGTCAAACAGGGGCTTCGTTTCGCAAAACGATTGGGGGAGGGGTTAAACATTGAGAAATAGCCCAACCTGCCAAAAAAAATATGTAAAAACAGGTTTCTCCTCGGCTTTGTCTACTTCAATCCCAAAGTTGGGTGGCCTGAACCCCAAGTTGGGGGCTGAAGCTGACCCCCTCCCCCCCAAACTGAATAGGAACCTACACCCCTGGATGTCAAGCAACATACGTGTCTGAAGCAGTTCACAGTCTACCCTGAAGCCAATGTCTATTTCCGGACAAGCTTTATCATACTCGTCGACAGAGCATCCAGGCCAGAGGATTGCAAGTGTGGGAACACGGGCTTTGTCCCAGAAGACGTCGCTTGCCCTCACTCATAACGCACGGTGACCAAACCACAATTACCTTCTAAAAAAACATTGTGCGTGCTCGCGACTTTCTTCCTCCGCGACGCCCCCAGTCAGAAGCGGCCAGTCACTTCAAGAATCACCTCAGGACCATTACCGCCGCCGCTAACTGGGAAAACATAAACATATCCCGGTGCGTGCAGCGACTCCAAACGGCGCCGGCCGTAGAGGCGACGACGGCCCGGCTCAGCGCGGGATTTGACCTCTCCGGGAGACGCCGTTACAGTCGCGCGGGATGCCAGCGCCGCGTTCGGGGTGCGGGGACACACGATATATACAATGCGGTTTAATCGGCCGTCCACATTCCGGCGAACGTGGGGTGGAAGCAGAAAAACGGGCCGACCGGCGGCGCCCCGAGCTGCGCCCCGCGCTAACGGTGCGTCCAGACGCAGGTGGCGTGTAGGCGCGCTGCGAGTGGGAAGAGGTGAGGCAGGATTAGACGCTGCCTCCGAGACGGCGCTG